TGTATCGGCTACCCGTTGCAACGTATCATCACGTGCTCGCAAGACAATGTCTCGTTAAGAAAATTGATCACCACTAATTACGGCTGGTATTATCGTTTATCAAAAGTGCATTGTAGCGCCTTTCATGCTCTCCTCGAGGGGTCCGATCTGCGTGTATGTCGTCTTTATAATCCTCTTCAGGTAGGTTTTCTAAAGCAGTTTTAAATGTTTTGACTAAAATGTTACGTTCATGCAAGAATCTTTGAATTTTGAACACTGTGTCTCTCTCAACTCCCTGGATAAATTGGCAGCGACGGTCTATCTCAATTTCTTCGTCACCCATACAATATACTTGTAAAAATTTATGCTGTTCGTTTTCAGCTGGAAAAAGTGAACCTATTCTATGATAAATTTGCCCTTACGCCGTAAATGTAGGCGAAAATCCCGGCATTATTATTTCCCGGTAAACTCTGAAGGACGTCATTTTAAAGCATGAGTTCCATTTCCGGATCCTGTTTAAAAAGCGCCGTGACTCATTAGCATCATATAAAAAGAGAGTTTTCAAAGGTTCTTCTGGTTCTTCTTCTTCTCTTCCCCAAGTAATGGAAGAGACACTTTGCCATTGGAACAGCACATGCCTGCGGTCTCATCTTTCCATTTTAAAGCGCTGCAAAATCGACACGCCTTGTCCATCAGTCTGATAACAACTAACCTGTGATTTGTATAATCAATCAACGGATCATAATTGAATGCTGCGTCATTTAAAACCGACCAATTGTTTCTTCGAAAATTTTGTCGACGTTCAGCTTGGAGCTGTGTATTTGAAAAAAAACATCTCTTCGCACCTGTGTCTGTTCTGGTGTTTCAGATGCCCTTATAGTAGATTGACGTTCAGCTTGCTCAATGAGTCTGTGTTGAGTTTCATCAAGTGTTTCCGGCTCTTAAGATGGCCTGACGTTCCGCTTGTTCGAATAGCCTTTGCTGACTTTGAGCAGGTGTTTCAGTAGCTCTTAAAGTAGGTTCACGCTCTGCCTGTTCAAGACGCCTTTGCTGACTTTGATCAGGTGTTTCAGTAGCTCTTAAAGTAGCTTGACGCTCTGCCTGTTCAAGACGCCTTTGCTGAGTTTGAGAAGGTGTTTCAGTAACTCTTAAAGTAGCTTGACGCTCTGCCTGTTCGAAGACGCCTTTGCTGACTTTGAGCAGGTGTTTTAGTAGCTCTTAAAGTAACTTGACGCTCTGCCTGTTCAAGACGCCTTCGCTGACTTTGAGAAGGTGTTTCAGAAGCTCTTAAAGTAGCTTCACGCTCTGCCTGTTCAAGACGCCTTTCTTGACTTTGAGAAGGTGTTTCGGAAGCTTTTAAAGCAGCCTGACGCTCTGTCTGTTCAAAACGCCTGTTCTGACGTTGAGAAGGTGTCTCAGATGCTCTAAAAGCAGCCTGACGCTCTGCTTGTTCTTGCCTTCTCAGTTCAGCATCTTCTAAAGATTCTAGCAATCGAGCTCATCTTTTCGCTTGTCTTTGAGAAGATACTCTTGAAAGGGACTTACGTTTGCGAGGCATTATGAAGTAACAAAAAACCTATTTATAAAAAAACTTTAAAATACCTAAAAGGAATTAAATTTCCTTTTAAATATTTTTAAAAATCGCAGAAAACCGAAATCGAAAGCAGTAGTCAATATAAATATAACCAACGAAAAAAATAAGTAAGTGTTTAGGTACCGTATACACTATCTATACTATTAATATTCCTTTGAAATATTGTTAAACAACCTGAAACAACGAAAACCAATTCACGATTCTAAATAAACAAAATCCAAAATCAAAGCCAGTGTCTAAATGTGTGAATATAACCAAGAGAAGAAAAGATAAAGAATACCAACCAAATCAACGAAACCGATCCAAGAAAATACACAAATCCGAAAATGAAATCCAATATAAATCCATTCAACCTTAACCAAATCACAAAGCAAAGAAATAACAAACAACCGAAATCGAAAGCAGGTAGTCGTATAAGCTACGAAATAGAAACAATTTAAGCGTATAGGTACCGTATGCACTATAAGTTGACGCGCGGCTCAACGGCGGGAGTTAAGTACATGTCATTTCGTTACCGCGTTTTAAATCCTAGTAACGACATCTAGCGGAATCAATTTAAACTTTGTATACGTTAGTTAATAAGAACTCTCAAAAAATATTTTTCTTATAATTTTGCGCAATTTTTCTTATTGAATACGGATTCATTCATAACCACATATAAGAACTGTATTCATTTCCGTTCAATAAATATTACTAAGGCTTATTAATAAGGCTTACTAAGAACTGTTTCTACCACAGTTAAGTAATAGTTAAGGGTGAAAGCGTGACAGGTTGTAATAGTATTTCTGATCCATACTTATAATCACGCCTGTAACCCTTGCGGGGTAGGCAGCGCATCAACAGATTACTTAATATCGTCTGCGAGGTTATCGCCTATTCGGTGAATTACAATGCACCAAAACGTTTGAAGAAAATCAGCTGGTGAATTTTATATTTTTTATCGCTCTCTTCCAGGTCCTGCGTGGAAAAATACAGATCCATACATTTTTAACCTTAATTTTGGTAAAAAGACGTAATAATCCAGATATTCTGACCTCTGTGTTCGTCCATCGTACCGTCGTCCGTCTTGTAGACTCACGGTGGCGCCACCTAGCCGAATTTAATTTTGCAACATATTCGATTTTCCCACGGGAATGATACGTTTTTCCGCTGAAAAAAGTAGCCTATGTCACTCTACAGCCACCGAACTATCCCCATACAAAAAATCATGCCATGCCGACGCTCTGTTGCGACGTGAAAGAAGGACAAACATGTGCAACATATTCTATTTTCCAACGGGAATGAGATGTTTTTCCGCGGAAAAAAGTACACTCACAAGTAACTTTTTCTGGGTCAATTTTCGTTTAGGGCAGGATTTGGCTGGGTCTCCAGGGTTCATCCATTGCGACGAGCGCTTCCGATTATCGTACAGTATCCACTTTTCATCACAAGTAATGATTCGATTTAAATTCCCTTTTTTTTTGTCAGTTGTCGGTTGAGCAAAGTAACATAGCAATCGACGCGTGTTTGCAAGTTCGATTTACTTAATTCATGAGATACCCATCGTTCAAGTTTTTTTACTTTCCCGATTTGCTTCAAGTGGATTAATAGTTTTATCACTTATCTCGAAGCCTGCAGCTATCTCTGAAGTGCTTTGATGGATCCGCTTCCACAATAGCCTTTAATTCTTCATTTTCCACTTTGGTCTCCGGCCGTCCACGGGGTTGGTTCTGAAGGTCGAAATGGCCAGACCAAAAACGTTGAAACCAAAAACGTACCGTGCTTTCTTTTGCGACAACAGCGCTGTACACATAATTAATCCTTCGAGTTGTTTTTACAGCATTGGCGCCACGGTAGAACTCGTACTCGTAAATATACCGATATTTCATGTTTTCCATTGTGCGGTAATAAGCGACGCCAAAGAAAAAAAATTATCAGATGATTATGTTTTCAAAACTCAAATGTACCAGCCAAATGAATTTATAAATGAATTTGGAATTCTTAACCAAAGAGGAGATATTTCAGATCAAAATGGTCACTACGACAAAACGCTAATTTCATATGTAAGGACCCAATAAATACATTTGAAGTGGCTGTAATATCGAAATAACTACCTTTTATTGAGCTCAGGTGGTTATTTATATGCTATTAAGACATGAATAAACATTTTTAAAATGTTTATCTGTCTGTCTTCTCTGTCTGTGACAGACAGTCGTCTGTCTGTCCTAACTCCTAACTGATCTTCGGAATGGCTGAACCGATTGGAATGAAACATGATTAGAGCATGGATACCGGTTTTCGGTAATATCGAAAAACCGGATTATCGGACCAAAAAATCCGATATTGAAAAACCGATTTTGGATTTCACTGATATCGGTTTTTCGATATTTTATATAAAAAAACCAGAGGCAATAGAATCTTTTTTTACTTATTTCATTAATTTTCATTGATGTAAAGCATACCTAACGGGTAATAATAATTATGTATGTTCCAGTGACAAAATCAAATCCTATCAAATCACTTTTATTTGTTAACACAGGTACAGAAATACAAGTCTTTTAATTGATAAAAACCGAGTGCTATGTCATGCCAGTAGCAGGCTTACAAATATGTCATTTTTAAATGATTATTTCCGAATAAAAGTGTGTATATGTCACCGTAAAATTGTCAAATACGTTATATTGTAATATAACGTGTTTGACAATTTTACAATGACATATACAACACTTTGGTTGCCGAGGGGCGGAGGGGCGCGGGTGGCTCGGGGGTCGGGTAGCTCGCTCCACCTCGCTCGACCAATCACAGCGCCCGGTTCGACCAGATAGTTGAGCTCGACGCACGGTATCACTCATTCAGCGCAGTTCATATTTTTATGTTAAAAAGCACGCACGTGTGCATTGCCAAAGTTGTGTTGTTTTTGTGACGTCGTTGTTTTACTTCATTCACTCGTCGGACAAACAAAGTGGGTAAGTGTACATACAAATACGGCGAGCATTACATTTATGATTTTTATTACATTTTAACGGGCTACTTTGATAAAAATGTTATTGTTTCTTTTATTATTACTTTTTATTTGAACCGTTAGATTATCTCAAAGATAAATTTATATGTAATAATATATTTTTCACTCCTCTTGCTCGAAAAGACCGTCATAATAGCGTACCAGAGCGGGCGTAAAATTGCATATTATGCCCTTGGGAAAAAAAAGGAATTTAACTCGGTTCCTATTTACTACCTCGCTAAAGCTCGGTACTAAAACTACCTCGTCTATAATGGGTCATTTTAGCCCCTTGTATTACACTTTACTATTATAGGCTTCAATTTTAAAATGAGTTCGCAAATGTACAAAATTTGAACTTTAGTTGGTCAAAGTTATTTAGTCAAAATTGTTTTGTTACAGGCTTTCAGCTTCCTTGAACAAACAAATTTACTTGTAAAAATATGAAGTATGAAAAATTCGAAAAAAAAGTGTGATGATAAAACCTCAGTTTGGCACTACTTTCTCCGAGCAGAAGATGGTCAGTCAGGCAAATGCAATTTATGCCAAAAAATAATACGATCTCACGGCGGCACAACAACTGGTATTCGCGTTCATTTAAAATCGTCGCATACAATAGACGTTAGTAACGTTAATTCAAAGTCTTACAATGGAGAAACTAATGACAGTAGTATAAACCGATCATCTACATCTGCTTCTCCAACCATTACGACCGCTGTGTCAAAATCAAAAGGCGAATCTTGTTCAGCGTCTCTCATCGATGGTAAAAAAAGGAAATTGACTGATTATTTTCAAAGTAATCACTCCCTTGAAACAACCGTCAGTAGAATGGCAGCTTTGGACGGAATACCATTCAGTGTATTTTGTACTTCTGAGGATCTGCGAAGACTGTTTACAAATTCTGGCTACAATAAATTACTGAAGACTCCAAAAGGTATAAAAAATATAGTCATAAACTATAGTAAACAGGAAAAGAAAAAACTGGTGACTGAACTGAAAAATCTATTAGCCCTTGGTAAAAAGTTTTCTTTGAGTTTTGATGAGTGGACATCATCTCGTAACGCCAGATATATGAATATCAACATTCACATAGGAGTTGAGTTCACAGATGGCTCACGTTTCAAAAATCTGGGTTTGGTGCGAATGGATGGTTCAATGCCATCTGAGACGTGTATCAGACTTTTGAAAGAAAAGCTTTCAGAATTTGAGCTTTCTTTAGATAGAGATATAATCGCAATAGTCACTGATGGCGCCAGCGTCATGTTAAAAGTTGGAAGAAACCTGCGCGCTTATCATCAAGTCTGCCTTGCACATGGTATTCAGCTAGCTGTACTTGTACGTATTATATAAGCAAGGCGGCGCGGAAAATGTGCGATCTCCTGATACTGCTGTTACTGCTGGTGGAACTGAAAGTGACTCCGAATTCGAGAACGACGCAGATAGTGCTGAAGATGAAACCGGGGGATTTGAAGTAATACCGGTGGTGTCAAACCCAAACGAGCTTAACAATGACTATAAAAGTGTCATCAGTAAAGTACGTGCAGTAGTCAAAATTTTCAAAAATTCTCCAGTAAAGAATGACATGTTTCTACAGAAACATGTAAAACAGGATACGGGAAAAGAACTCCAGCTACTAGCCGATTGTAAGACTCGTTGGGGAAGCATCTCTACTATAGTGGATAGATTCAATAGGTTAAGATCATGTGTACCAAAGCACTGATTGACATGAACTCTGATATCAAGTTCACACAGAGCGAGTTTCATACTTTGGACAATTTCCAGAAAAGTCTGAATATTATCAAAGTGACAGTAGAAGCACTGTGCCGGCGTGATGCAACTCTATTAACTGCTGATGCGGCTATGAAATTTATGCTACGTAGACTTCTCGCAAGATCATTGCGCGTGCGCATTTCCCAAAGACGACTTTCTATTGCATCTACTTTGCAGTATCTCCAAAATCCTGAAACATATTTCAGTGAAGTTGCTACCGCCGAGCTCCCAAAAACCCCAGAAATGGTGGAGGAAATTTATTCACTAACTCAAAATTTTGAAGATGAACCTGTGGTTAGGGTTATGGATGATTTGGCCTTGGATAATAGCGCCAGCAGCGTGAGTGGAGATTCCGAAAGCGTTGATTTTGTTAAAGAACTAAATAAAGAAATTGAAAAATCACTGAAGGAGAAAAATAGAAATATGCGAAATAGAAATGAAACAGAAGATGAACCTAACAGAGAGTGTGGTTATGGTGAAAATGATAAGCATAAGTTAATTCAAATTGAAATGGCACTGTTTGAAAATGGTGGCAACCGCGGGTTCTATTTAGACATGGCGTACAGACATTTACTGACGGTACCCCCCACGAGTGTAGAGTCTGAAAAAGCGTTCTCGTCTGCGGCATGTACGTGCAACAAAATAAGATCGTCTCTCAAAGACAATACCTTGGATGCCCTCTGCTACTTACGTTCCATATTTCAGCAATCGCGATCTCGTGAATTTCCGTAGGCTTCGTCTTTGAAGCCATATGTTGTAAGATGACTATATAGTCACCCCATCAATTTAATATCCAGTTATTTGCGTTTAATGTAATATTTACTTATATATTATGTTACTCAATTACTTATTTTAACTTGTGTTGATTTTTTAATTTTATGACATAGCTGAGTATGTTAAGAAAATGTTTATTTTTGTGTTTCATACTTTTTAAACTAATTATGTAAAGATTGCAATAATAAAAGTTGTTGATTTGCTTTTTATTAGTGTCTTATTTCTAATTTGGACTCTAACAACGTTTAATTTAAACAAATTTGATCTCCTTTTTTTAGCCATAATATCGGAAAAATATCGAAATACAGGAATATCGGTATTAAAAAATTTAATATCGAAACAAAACCGGTATTGGAAAAAAGTTCCGATAGTCCATGCTAGAAACATGATGAATAGATAGAGATCAATGCCAACAGTGACGTGGGCTTGGTGTATTTTTAAATATTAATTGGCAGTGGCAGTTCAAAAAACTTTAAACCTAAATAACACAACATCAATAGATAATATCGCGTTTAATTTGACTTATTTTTATTGCCCAACATTTTGATAAGCTACAAAGTTTAATTTTTTCCAAAAATACACTTCGTTTGCAGAGATCTGCGAGTAATATAGAAAAAAAATTTTTTCCATTGCTTCTTTAAAAGAATAATACTGATTATTTATACAGAGTTTATTTAAAGTTGTAAGTTGTGAAAATAGTACAACACTTCTAAAATATTCTCATGAAACAGTCTTAAATCATTTAATAAATGGGCGACAGTAGAAATCTACACAATTAGAAGATATTATGACCTTTATAATGAAAGATTTTTTGTAGAATAAGGGCTTGGCTACAAAGTACACTGTCCACCTGATGGTAAGTGGATGCTGTGGCCTACAGACATCTACATCTATCCTCGTGTAAACAAAATGTAGACACGTTGTCACTTCTAAGGACTCAGATGGAATGCTTCGTTTCTCTACATTCACCATACACAGCAGCATAAATCTACTCTTTCACTCTGGTATACTATCAGAGCGTGGTACTTCTCTGGTTGGGCTGACAGATTCGTGCCAAGATAGTAATATAGCTGCAGCGTGACTGAACCTCGTAAAAATACACAAATAATAATAATAATTACACATTGAAAGAAAATTTAAAAAACATAAGGCTCTACATTAGAGCAATGACATTAAAACTGGTATAAATAAAAATAAAACGACTTGAGAATATAATTAAGTCAGTAATGTCAGGGGTCAAGGCCAAGATCAAATTACGCAACTTAAATTTTTCGTTGAAACATAAGAATAATATTGATTTAATTGAATCTGATCAAGCGTTTGCTACGGCTTTAAACAAAGTTATCACTGATATTCCTTTTTTAAATATTTTTGTTAACTTCACTTGTGTGTTCTGAAATTTAGCAATCAATATTTCACTAACTTCCACTAAAGCTATCGGGCTAAAGTTTGGAACACACGTTTGGTTCTCAAGACAATGCACAATTACTTAAAACCACAATTACTTAAAACCACAATGTTTTTCATTCACTACCATAATATGGACATCATATGAAGATATGGATTCAAATGATGGTAACAGGATGAACTATTTGTTCACTGAAAAGAATACGAATAAATGACGTCCACGTTCAGCTCTTCGAGGAGATGGTGTACTACTGCTTGGTGCTTGGTGCTTGTCTAAATGGTAAGTGTTACGAACATCGAGGGGAGCCGCCGCCCCGTCACCTCGCACACCTCATACCGCAACGCGACACTTTCGCGGAGTCTTTGAAAAACATTAAATTAATTTTTATAAATCGAGGTGCTACACCTCAGTTTCTCTCCGGCACCGGCGAACCAGGCTTCTTACCTGCGTGCAGTGTTATCCGGAGAGTCCCAGCGATCCATCAACGTGGGCAGGATAATGTTGGGGCTGTCGCGTGTGAGGCACAAGGAGGCGCAGCGCTTACACATGATGGCAGCAAAGCCGTCTGTACACGCCTCCGCGAACATCGCGGAGGCGCTGCAATAGCGCGGCACCCCCTTCATCACCCGGAACGCGTTATTGTACTGCACTCGCAGGTCACCGTAGGCCCTTCGCATATAGTTTACCCACGGACTGCACGTGTAAAAGTACTGACAGAATGCCCCAAAAAGAGTTAACTTAACCTGTTTAGTACATCGAGCAAATCTGTGAGCCAACATATTACAGCGAACAGAAAGTGCGCTACGCTCCCTGTCGAAATTCTTTCATTTTCTCCTCGATCCAGTGACCCAAATACTTAAAACGCTCTACTTTTTTAACGGAACACCGCAAAGTGTAATTTTTGGAACATTTTTGTACTGCTTATTGTCCGGTTTAAATACCATTAACTCGCTTTTGTTGGTGTTATATTTAAGCCCATGGGCTGCAGCGTAGGACTCACAAACAGCAAGCATTGTCTCCAATGCACCGCACGACGGTCTCAAGAGCACCATATCATCTGCATTACCAATATTATTGACACAGATTCCGTATATATACCAACCGACACCTGTGCTGCTGATTTCGACGATTAATCGGTTCATATACAGGTTGAAGAGCGTTGGCGAGCTCAGCCCCCCTGCCATACCCCGCACTCTAACCTGTTATCCTCAGAAAGGAAAACTGCCCGTCTAACATTTTTTTTGCTTTGGTACCAATGCTTGAAGAGCGCCATAATTTAATTTGGCAAGTCAATCAAGTCAAGATTAATAAAGATTTTTCGGTCAAGATGAGTTCGACAATCGAACCACCGCGCCCGTAAGTATTGAGGCTGTTCGTAGGCCCGCACCGCGCGCCGCGTTTGTTCGTTAAACCCAGCCGATAGCTAGCGTGATTACTAGGATTACGCAAATCGAGTATAACATAGCTGAAGAACTCACCGCGATTAGAAGGAAACAGTTAGAGATCGAAGAAGATTTAATTTAAAATAAATACGCTAGGGACACCGTGAGTTACAAAAAGAAACGGATAGGGAAACTCGATGCAGTCGAAATCGCCGAGAATAGGAGCCGTGTCGATCAGTGGTTAGACAACATAGAGACTGAGTCTGAGCCTGTCTCAGGCCGCGCCCCGCGTCGTTCAAGTAGTACAGTAATGTAATCGTAATCGTAAACGTAATCAGTCCCCTCCTACGGCGGGAGTACATCGAAAGATACATCGAAGATAATCGGGGTACAATGATCAGCCGTGTCACGGTAACCACACATTACAGAAGGATAACGGAGCCGCCTTAGAATCAAATCAGATGAATCGTTATGCGGAGGTAACTTCGCCGACGCGCGCCCAATACCGCACTCTATCGTCAATACATAGGTCGCCATCGCCGCGACAAACGTAGATTATCGTCGCTATGTACATAAGTCACGTTCACTTTATAACCGCGATACATCCCCGAGTCGCCGTGTATCACCGGACAGAGTTGATAGGGATAGTTAGGTCGCTAGAGTAAAATGAGTCGTAGCAAGTGCATTGTCTAAGCCCAGCCGCGTGCAACGTTCGCCATTTTGTTTTAGTTATAATTAACTACGCATATAAAGTCCACCGTTTAGTTCAATCTAGAACAGCAATCGATAATCTCGCATACAAATTCCATTATTCCCGGAATCGAACCTGAGACCCTATAGCCAACCATTTTGAGGTTTCTTCTGTCCGGATACGAAGGGCAACCTAGTCACCCCTAACCATTTAGTGACCATCCGTTTCCGGATTTGAACCCAGGAACCATTAGCGTCGTAATTTTGTGGTCATTCGCCCCGGATTTAAATTTAGCAATCCTACCGCTCCACCACATTGCCTCACATGAATTAATTACCGACTCTGAGTCAAGTAACTGGTATCACTTGTGTTTTTCTAATGCTTACACAATGTATATCACTTTTTTAATAATAATAATAATAATAATCTTTATTTGCGTAAAACATGGTATAGGTGTTGTTCACAGGTAAAAATCGAGCGCTCATGTTTTGCTTATTTTACATAGCATGCAAATATTTTGAACAATGTCAAATTTTCTCTAACTATTTGAAATACCTTAGTCACCTGATTTAGTTAACAAAGAGAAATAATATTATAATAATTAATTACATGTCAATTTCAATACCTAATAATAATCGCATAGTTTAATCAAAGATATATTGTAACAATACTATAGTTTGTTATTTTATATTTATTACAATAATTAAATGATTTTTTTTAATAAATATTATCCAGTACTTAATCTAATTTATTTCCAAGAATTGTTTTACACTATAGAAATTATTTTCATTTAATAAAACTGATTTTGTTTATGTGAACACAGAGTCAATACGGAGGGACCATAGTTAATAAATATATACAGTATGTATCAAAAAACCCGTTAGTCGTTTCAGGAACGCGTAGGTGTACTTATCGGCATGGCAATTATGATAATGAATTTTTTTTTTGGTTGCTTTAAATGGGGTTTGAGAGTTTCTAATCAGATAACTTATTAAATTAATATTTTTAAAAATGTTATTTGCTTCTGAACTTACTAATACGTGCCGACATATTATCTACGGCCGCTATGACTTCACTGACACAGCTGCCACAAAGCAAGCCGCTGGGCGGCGCGTGCTACCCCAAGGTTTTTGTGTAAATCGTTATAATTATATCTATATGTATATAATTATTACATATAATTATATCTAGACACAGTTATTCTCCGAAAATTAAAATTTAAAAATAACAGAAATTATAATGAAATATGTTTTTTTTTAATATTGTGCTGGAAGTTTATGAATATTCTATTTTCCTTCTTGAATACCTAATAATATTTAATATGTTAATATTTATTTTATATTTTACAATATCTTATAAATATCATTTACGAAGTCACATAACGATAAGGATTCTTAGATAAGCTAAGGCTTAGTAGATGACGATGTCTTGACGAGATCTAACAGTTTGTGAAATTACGTTCATTACAATCTATCAA